AAGGTAGGCTGGTCACGTCATAAACATAATTAAACCCTAGTCACCCTATCAGAAAACAAGTCAGTTAAACACACACATACCACAGCATCATAAAGTACACCACCAGGTCAACCAGCCAGTAGACAAACCACTCCAGGTCATCAAGTCAAGCCAAGCCATCACAGCCTACCAGCCGCCACACAAGGTCACATCAGGTCGCGTCAGGTCAGGCCAAGCCACAAAGCAGGCCAGGTATGAGTCGGAGGCGCCGTCCCTTCCCCGAGAGGAACCACTACATAAATAGCAGCTGACGTGTGTGTTCATTGGTTCGAGATAAAAATCCTTCTTTACAACCTCTGGCACGGCGAGGGGCGGCCTGGCACTGCTGCCACCGTCACTCCTGACCCCCACTCCCCCCCCCTCTACTCCTTTATACCCTTTCCCCTCCTTCTTGCACTCCTCCCTCCCTCCTTCCCTCCCTCTCTCCTTTCCCTCCTCTCTTGGCGCCTTCTCCCCTCTTCTGCTTTCTCCTCTTATTCCATTCCTTATTCCCGATATTTGCTTCCCCTCCTTCTTACATTACCCCCCCCCCCCTTTATCTGGAACCTCCTCTCCTCTTCTGCTCCTCCTCCTTCTTCCAGTCTTCCCCACTTCTCCTGGCATCTCTCCCCCTCTTCTCTCTTCCCTTTTTCCCCCTTTTCCTGGCAGCCTATCCCCAATTCTCCTCCGTTCACTTCACTCCTTTCCCTCCTCCTCCTCCTCTTCCTTCTGGCACTCCTCCCTTCCCCTTATTTCCTTGCCTTTCCCCACGCCCTATCCCTCCTTATCTTCCTTTCTTCCTAACCCCACACCTCTTATTTCCTTCCTTCACCCTCTCCTCCCTCTTTCCATCCTTCCTCCTTTCCCCCCTTCCCCTCTTCCCCTTCTCCCCCTTTTCCTCTCCCCCCGCTTCTTCCCCCCCTCCCCCTCCTCTTCATTTTCCTCTCCCCCTCCTCCTCATTTTCCCCTCCTCCCCTCTTCCCCTCCTCCTTCTCTTTCCATCCTTCTCCTCCCCTCCCTCCCTCCCTCCTTCCCCTCATTTCGGCCCTGCCTGCTTATGGCACCCGCACGTGGCACCCTCCCCACTTTTCCCGTCCTTTGGCAGTGTGGGAGGAATGCGCGTGGCACTTGGCTCTTACACCTTCCCCCCTCCTCTTGCGGCACTTTTGTGGGGGGGGGGGGGAGGAAGATGGGAAGATGGGAGGGAGAAGGGGAGGAATACGAGGAGAGAGAGAGAGGGAGGGAGGGAAGGAGGGAGGGAGGGAGGGAGGGAGGGAGGGAGGGAGGGAGAGAGAGAGAGGGAGGGAGGGAGGGAGGGAGAGAGAGAGAGAGAGAGAGAGAGAGAGAGAGAGAGGAGATGAGAGAGAGAGAGAGAGAGAGAGAGAGAGAGAGAGAGAGAGATAGATAGAGAGAGAGAGAGAGAGAGAGAGAGAGAGGAGAGAGAGAGAGAGAGAGAGAGAGAGAGATAGAGAGATAGAGAGATAGAGAGATAGAGAGATAGAGAGAGAGAGAGAAAGAGAAAAAGAGAGAAAGAGAAAAAGAGAGAATGAGAGAGAAAGAGAAAAAGAGAGACAGAAAAAAGAGAGGGAAAGGGCGGGGAGAGAGATGAGAGAAGTCTGGAGGGGGGGGAGGGAGGGAGCAAGAAAAGAGGGGGAAGCAGGGAGGGAGAGATGAGACAAAGGCTTCCCTATACACTAGCTTGCAATGCCATGATCCCTCTGACGAAAACAGTTTCTTAAGTGCCATATTGCAGTGTCTTCTGTGAGCAAATTTTCAACGAAACGAAATAGCGATACAGTAATACGAATGACAATAATAATAACAAATCCATAATAGCAACAATAATTATCATCATAATAATAATACTAATAATGAAACAATATGCTAATAAAAAAAACAGAGATCAAATGCAACAATATGCATATATGAAATACACGAACAAGATTTTTCTTTAAATGACAGATTAGCAAACGACCTCAACAAATACAAAGAAACAAGACAAGAACAAAGACAGAAAAAACATCGTCACCCCCCCTAAAAAACAAACAAATAATAATAATAATAATAATTAAAATAACAAATAAAAAAAAACATACAAATAAAAAAAAATTAACAACACAGACTAACAATAATAATAGAAGAAGAAAAAAAGGGAGGATTTTTGTTCTTTGCAAAATTGAAAAGACATTATCAAATGCTAACATCTGATATTAAGCAGTGTCGCACTCAGGAAATTAAAAGCCCGTCGTTCACAAGGGCGAAAATCCCGGGCGTTTCAGAGGGGAAAATCGCTCTTATGAGACCGTGGCTGTCGCGGACCTGACATCGTCTTGGTATTTTATTTTTTATTTTATTATTTTTTGGGAAGGGGGGGGGGGCTAGGGTGGTTGAAGTTAAAGGAAGAAGAATAAAAAAGAAAACTGCAATAAAGGCCATAAACTGATCTTTTTTTGAAGTGGGGGGGGGGGTTAAATAGCTGATTCTAAGACGAGAAAGAATGGAAGAGACGGATTCAGCAAGGAAGGAAGAAGAGGAAGAATACGAAGGAGGAAGAATAAAGAAGGAAGAAGATGGAGAAAATTGCATATGGGTATGACAACGAAGGATATCCGTTACGAAACAGTAATAGTAATGATAATAATGGTAACGTTAATAATAATAATAATAATAGTAATAATAATAATAATAATGATAATAATAGTAATAGTAATAGTAGTAATAATAATAATAATAATAATAATAATAATAATAATAATAATAATACAATAATAATAGCAATAATAATAATAACAATAATAATAATAACAAAAACAATAATAACAATTATAATAATAGTAATAGTGAAATTAATAGAAATAGTAAAAATAATAATAATAAAAAAATAATAATAAATAACAATAATAATAACAGTGATGATGACGTAATCACAAATCACAATCTTTGTAGTAACAGTAACAGTAAATAAAATAAGAATAATGCCAATAACCTAAGAACAATAACATCAACACCATCAAGAACGAAAATAGAATCACAATAACAACAAATGCAAAGAACAAGAACAAATAGAATCACACTAACAACAAATGCAAAGAACAAGAACAACAATAAACAGATCAAGAAAATGATACAGTGAGAAAGAACAAATGGAACATGAAAAGAGAGCAATAAAGTATAAGAAGAACAAGTAAGAACAAGAACAATGATTTACAGAACAAGAAAACAAAACTACAACAAGAACAAGAACTAGAATAATAATAATAATAATAATAATAATAACAATAATAAAGAAGGAAGAGGCAATGGATGATAAAAATGGAAGAGGCGAAGGGCCGAGAGACACTCGATCGCCTTCGAGCTCTCAGCCTTCATGAAAGCGTCACGGACAGGAAACACGGACAAGCACAAGCGCCCGAGTCGAACAGAGTCGAATCGAGTCGAGTCGAGTCGAACCGAATCTATCCGAACAGAGTCGAATCGAGTCGAGTCGAACAGAGTCGAATCGAGTCTATCCGAACCGAGTCGAGTCGAGTCGAAACGAATCGGACCGAACAGTGCCGATCCGAACCCAAGTCGAACCGAATCGAAACGAGTCGACCCAAACCGAATCGAATCGAGTCTCAATCCGAACTGACTCAAATCGACCCGAACCGACTCACATCGACCCGACCCGACCCGACCCGACTCCAACCAAAAGAATCCCAAACCGACTCCAAACATACCCGAAGTACAGACTCCAGGGTGCCGACTTTGCCCTGTAAGCTCCCGACTTGAACTTTGGCCGACGACCAGTCCGTCTCCACCTGGGTGAGGGTGTGTTTCAGCGTCTTGCACTCTTCGCTGACCTGGAAGGACACGGAGGGGGAAAAGTTAGTTATTTATGCATGTGTTTGAGTTTATATATTTTTTTCCCAATTTGTATCTTCGATTTTGATAAGTTTTTTTTTTTTAGGTTTTGTCTTTTTATAATAGTAGTAGTAGTAGTAGTATAGTAGTATTTGTAGCTGTATAGTAGTAGTGGGATAATAGTAGTAGTAGTAGTAGTAGTAGTAGTAGTAGTAGTAGTAGTAGTATAGTAGTATTTGTAGCTGTATAGTAGTAGTAGTAGTAGTAGTATAGTAGTATTTGTAGCTGTATAGTAGTAGTAGTAGTAGTAGTAGTAGTAGTAGTAGTAGTAGTAGTAGTATAGTAGTATTTGTAGCTGTATAGTAGTAGTAGTAGTAGTAGTAGTAGTAGTAGTAGTAGTAGTAGTAGTATAGTAGTATTTGTAGCTGTATAGTAGTAGTGGGATAATAGTAGTAGTAGTAGTAGTAGTAGTAGTAGTAGTAGTAGTAGTAGTAGTAGTAGTAGTAGTATAGTAGTATTTGTAGCTGTATAGTAGTAGTGGGATAATAGTAGTAGTAGTAGTAGTAGTAGTAGTATAGTAGTATTTGTAGCTGTATAGTAGTAGTGGGATAATAGTAGTAGTAGTAGTAGTAGTAGTAGTAGTAGTAGTAGTAGTAGTAGTAGTAGTAGTAGTAGTATAGTAGTATTTGTAGCTGTATAGTAGTAGTAGTAGTAGTAGTAGTATAGTAGTATTTGTAGCTGTATAGTAGTAGTAGTAGTAGTAGTAGTATAGTAGTATTTGTAGCTGTATAGTAGTAGTGGGATAATAGTAGTAGTAATAGCAGTAGTAGTAGTAGTAGTAGTATAGTAGTATTTGTAGCTGTATAGTAGTAGTGGGATAATAGTAGTAGTAGTAGTAGTAGTAGTAGTAGTAGTAGTAGTAGTAGTAGTAGTATAGTAGTATTTGTAGCTGTATAGTAGTAGTAGTAGTATAGTAGTATTTGTAGCTGTATAGTAGTAGTAGTAGTAGTAGTAGTAGTAGTAGTAGTATAGTAGTATTTGTAGCTGTATAGTAGTAGTGGGATAATAGTAGTAGTAGTAGTAGTAGTAGTAGTAGTAGTAGTAGTAGTAGTATAGTAGTATTTGTAGCTGTATAGTAGTAGTAGTAGTATAGTAGTATTTGTAGCTGTATAGTAGTAGTAGTAGTAGTATAGTAGTATTTGTAGCTGTATAGTAGTAGTAGTAGTATAGTAGTATTTGTAGCTGTATAGTAGTAGTAGTAGTATAGTAGTATTTGTAGCTGTATAGTAGTAGTAGTAGTATAGTAGTATTTGTAGCTGTATAGTAGTAGTAGTAGTAGTAGTAGTAGTAGTAGTAGTAGTAGTAGTAGTAGTAGTAGTAGTATAGTAGTATTTGTAGCTGTATAGTAGTAGTGGGATAATAGTAGTAGTAGTAGTAGTAGTATAGTAGTATTTGTAGCTGTATAGTAGTAGTAGTAGTATAGTAGTATTTGTAGCTGTATAGTAGTAGTGGTATAATAGTAGTAGTAGTAGTAGTAGTAGTAGTATAGTAGTATTTGTAGCTGTATAGTAGTAGTGGTATAATAGTAGTAGTAGTAGTATAGTAGTATTTGTAGCTGTATAGTAGTAGTGGGATAATAGTAGTAGTAGTAGTAGTAGTAGTAGTAGTATAGTAGTATTTGTAGCTGTATAGTAGTAGTGGGATAATAGTAGTAGTAGTAGTATAGTAGTATTTGTAGCTGTATAGTAGTAGTGGGATAATAGTAGTAGTAGTAGTATAGTAGTATTTGTAGCTGTATAGTAGTAGTAGTAGTAGTAGTAGTAGTAGTAGTAGTAGTAGTAGTAGTAGTAGTAGTAGTAGTAGTAGTAGTAGTAGTAGTATAGTAGTATTTGTAGCTGTATAGTAGTAGTGGGATAATAGTAGTAGTAGTAGTAGTATAGTAGTATTTGTAGTTGTATAGTAGTAGTGGTATAATAGTAGTAGTAGTAGTATAGTAGTATTTGTAGCTGTGTAGTAGTAGTAGTAGTAGTAATATAGCAGTATTATTAACTGTATAGTAGTAGTGGGATAATAGTAGTAGTAGTAGCAGTAGTAGTAATGGTAGTGGTATAGTAGTTTTATTAGTTGAATAGTAATAGTAGTTGTTGTTGTATAATAGTAGTGGTACAGTATTACTACTACTACTTCTAGTAGTAGTAGCTATAACAGGAGGAAGAGGAGGAAGAGGAGGAGGAGGAGGACGGGGAGACGAGGTGGGGGAGAGGAAAGGGGGAGAAGGACGAAGAACAGGAGGAGGGGGGAAACAAAGAAAAGAAGGAGAATGTGAAGGAAAAGGAAAAGGAGAGCATAGAGAGAGAAAAAATAGAGGCACAAACAAGAATAATAATAATAAAAAAAAAATAGTGAAAAATACACACGCGCAAAAAAATACAAATAAAAATAAAATACTATCCTTACCAACACATTTCAAAATCTAAAAACAAACAAACAAACAAACAAATAAAACCCAACTCTCCCTCAAGAAGTCTGCTCTATCCGATTTCCAGGTGCTTGTGCCGGATAACCGAAGGTCGGAAGCCGGATTAGCGAAGCACGAATGCTCTAAGATTCGGCTGATCCATTACTTCAATATTTAGGCGAATGAATCATCAAAACCCCTCTAAAAATTCGTTTATATTATGTATGCCATTTAAATATTCACCAGGAACTTCTATCTATCTATCTATCTACCTATCTCAGTCTATCTATCCATCTATTTATCATTAAAATCTGAAGGACTGAAAAAAAAACATTGATATCCCACTTAAATATCATCCATCAGAAACGTAGATAGATAGATAAATAGATGGACGGACAGATAGCTAGATGGGTAGATAGATAAATAGATAGATAGATAGATAGACTGATAGATAGATAGACAGATAGATAGATGGGTAGATAGATTTTCAATACTTAGCAATATTCCTACAAAAGACCCATTAACAGTATTCATTGCAAACCACAACAAAATCATATAAAACTAATGAGAATAACAATACTATCTTTCTTTGTCTTGGCTATCTGCAGACCCTTTGCAGCATTAGTGCAACATATTGCATCATGGCGGAATAAAAACGAGCAATATTCGCCCATGTTTGTAAACTTTCTCTTGAAACCGATGACCATTTGGCTTTAAAGAAGTAAACAAACAGATAAACTAAATTATGTATAATGTAAGAAAACAAACAAGTAAATAAACAAACAAAGGAATGAATGAATGAATGGATGAATAAATAAATGTTAAACTAAAATGATTAATGAATACATGAATAAATACATAAATTTGTTCACATGTCCATCTATACATTTATGCATACATACACACATAATGCATCTGTGCGTGTGTGTGCGTGTGCGTGTGCGTGTGCGTGTGCGTGTGTGTGTGTGTGTGTGTGTGTGTGTGTGTGTGTGTGTGTGTGTGTGTGTGCGCGCGCGTATGTATGTATGTATGTATGTATGTGTATGTATCATAAATTTGGCGCTGAGGAGAGCCGCGTGTGGCAGCTATGACGTCACAGACTCGGGTGGGCGCGCGAGACGTCCAGTGACGTCATCTCTCGAGAGGTGGGAGGAGGGAGGGAGGAGGGAGGAGGGAGGAGGGTGGTGGAGGAGGGAGGATGATGGGGGGAGGGGAGGGAGGAGGGAGGGCAGGTGGAGGAGGAGAGAGGAGGAGGGAGAAGACCAGAGAAGAGGAGGAGGGGAGGGGAGGGGAGGCGGGAAAGAGCATAGGGTAGGTAGTGGAGACTTACGAAAAGAAAAAGGAAAGAGAAAGAGAAGAGAAAAGAGACAGAGAGAGAGAGAGAGAGAGAGAGAGAGGGGGGGGAAGAGAGAGAGAGAGAGAGAGAGAGAGAGAGAGAGAGAGAGAGAGAGAGAGAGAGAGAGAGAGAGAGAGAGAGAGAGAGAGAGAGCAAAAGAGGCGTCACGCAATTGCGAAAGTTGAGTTGAATCGATTCCCGGCAGATCCATAACACCTTGCAAGATGCTTCGTCTGGTAGAATTCGCGTGATTAAATAATCGATTAAGCATGGGGGAGGGAGAAGGGGCGGGAGGAGGAGAGGGAGAAGGCGGGGGAGAGGGAGAAGGGAGGAGGGAAAGAGAAAGAAAGGGAAGGGGGAGGGAGGGGTGGAGAGGGAGGAGAAGAATTGGGAGGAGGAAGGAGGAGGAGTTGGAGGGGGAGAAAAGAAGAGAAGGAAGGAGAGAATGAGAGCGCAAGAGAGAGAAAGAGAAAGAGAGAGAGAGAGAGAGAGAGAGAGAACAGGAAAGTTTCGTTTTTCCTTCCTTCCTTCTCTTCCCTCTTCTGTTTCCTCCCTTCTCTTTATTCTCACCTCTCTCCTCTCCTCTCCTCTCTTGTCTTCCCCTCTCACCTTTAATCATCCAATCACCAATTTTTCTTTAAAACTTATTCTCTCCCTTTATTTCATTCCCTTCCTTCTACAGTTATTCGCATATCTGTCGTGCCGATTATTCTAAGGGGGCGAGGGAGAGAGGGAGGGAAGGAGAGAGAGAGGGAGGGAAGGAGGGAGAGAGGGAGGGAAGGAGGGAGAGAGGGAGGGAAGGAGAGAGAGAGGGAGGGAAGGAGGGAGAGAGGGAGGGAAGGAGAGAGAGAGGGAGGGAAGGAGGGAGAGAGGGAGGGAAGGAGGGAGAGAGGGAGGGAAGGAGGGAGAGGGAGGGAGGGAGAGTGGGAGGGAAGGAGAGAGAGGGAGGGGAAGGGAAGGAGAGAAGGAGGGAGAGAGGGAGGGAAGGAGAGAGAGAGGGAGAGAGGGAGGGAAGGAGGAAAAGAGGGAGGTAAGGAGGGAGAGAGGGAGGGAAGGAGGGAGAGAGGGAGGGAAGGAGTAGGAAGGAGAGTTGGAGATAGATGGAGAAGGGGAAAAGAGGGAGAGGGAGAGGGAGAAGTTGAAGATGAGGCAGGGGAGGAGGGAGAAAGAGAGGGAGAAAGAGAGGGAGAGAGAGAATGGGGGGG